AGAGACGTTCGTTGTGGGCATCGGATCGGAGTCGAAGGCAGTACTTGTAGTGCGGCCTGCCATGCCATGGCCCCCAATGCTAGATATCGGTCCATCGACGCATTCTCCGCATTTTTACACAAACGACACTATTATTCCCACCGATGGATTCGCGATGATGCTAGCGGAACTCAATTGCTTGCTATTACGCGACAGTTTTCAGGTACATTTAATGCTATCACCAGACAAATGCTGCTGAGGGAATAGTCAGGTTGATCGATTAGATACGTTAACGAAATCAGTTTCTGTCTGAAACATTCCTGGAAGCTCGAGTATATCTGCGCTGGCTTTTCTCGGAAGACAATTGCGACATTTTTGATGCTTTCATTTAATGCGGTGTTTTGAATAAAGTTTAAAAAAGCCAACGTAAGCTATAATTTCTTTGCAGGGATCGACACTATTCAACCACTTACGACTTACGACCTTACATGCCTTTATTGCTTCCAACTACTTCTAAATTTTGAACATATTTCGTTCACAATAACGGCAAAAATGCTCTTTGTGCTGTTGAATTAGCTATTGACCGCGCGCATAGCAAACTCGTTCTATCCCATAGATGCAATGCACAATCAAAAAGTACCTAAGCACGAAATAACATTGGATCCGCTTATTTTCTTACACAATTCTTACCTGACACTCTTTCAACACATTTACACGTATTATACAGGTACAAGGTCGTGATATTTTCGTTCTTGAAAACAATGCTTGTCCTGGTATTTTTGCTTCCCACGCCTACTGGCGATAATTTTCGAAAAAGATATACTGAAATGTTTCTTTGATGTTATACAGGGTATTCCTTAATGATATGCAAATATTTAAGGGTGTGAATCTACATGAAAAATTAATGTTAGTTTGCTTTATAAACTATGGTCAAAAAATATTTCCTTACAAAAACTCGGGGTGTTGAAGTTTGAGGAAAAAAATGGAAAAATAATTTTTAGCTTTAACAGTGGCGTGCGTACGGGTATTGACTTCTATATTTTTTAAGAAAAAAATGGCACGCCAGTGGTTTTTTGCCAAATAAAATCTATTTTTGAATCTTCCGTTCAATTTATAACAAATGATCTTCCTCAGATTGTTTTTCTCCGATGCGCCATTTTTGAGTAAAAAAAATAAAAACCGTTTTATTGTCTAACTTGCAAAATTATTATTAATTTAATTGGAAAAATTAAACACATTAGGGGTAACGAACTACAACAACTGACAACATAAACATAACATTAAAATCAACAAAATGATTACAAAAATTGTTGAAAATGGCCCCCTTCACTTAGTATGCATGCTTCCGTCCTCCTTCTCATGGAATTGCGCACTCATTGAAATATCCCTGGCTGCAACTATTCATTCTCTTAATTCCTCTTCAGTGTTAATGGGACTTGTGTATACTAGTGTCTCAAGATAGTCCCACAAAACGAAATCTAAACTGTTGAGGTCTGGGGACCTTGATGGCCATTATTGGGGCCCACCGCGGCCAATTCAACGATTTGGATAAACAGTTTGTAAATAATTACGAACTGCTACACTGAAATGCGCGCTGGTGCACCATCATGCATGCACCACATATTGTTTCTTATTACTATCGGAACATCATCAAGCACCAAATGCAACTGTTGTTGAAGAAAAATGAGGGAAGTCTGTCCGTCAAGTCGTCTAGGCAAGAAGAATGGGCCAATAAAGTGGTTGCCAATAATTCCTGCCCATATGTTAACCGAAGATTGGTGTTGGAAATGGGGTTCGCTTACGGCATAGGGATTTTCTTCTGCCCACAAATGATTATTGTGGAAATTCTAAATGGCATTTCGAGAAAAATTAGCTTCGTCCGTGAACAGAATCATTGATTCAAATTGCGGATTTTGTGTAATTTTTTGAAGATAAGACTGACAAAAGGTCATTTTTTACTGCGACGCGTAATTATGGAACATGTACTATTTCCGGATGTGTTACGTTTTTATCATAAAAATGCACGTCACTCGCGTCCATCAGACTGTCTATTGGTAATTTTGTCACAGCGTATCCTCAGCAACCATTGCACCGATTCCATTCCATAACCCAGCATTATCTATTTAATCGCCTCTACAATTAAAATTACTGGAACGATTACTGAAATTGCTCAGTAAAATCGCCATTAGACAGACTGATCAGAATTCGTGACTTGATCTGCATAATGCAATGCCTACTCAAAAAAAAAAACAATCAGAACAGACACATTTTTTTCTTATAACTAAGAAGGTGAATGCAATATGACGATATGAAAAATAAAGTTGATGATGGTTTCTCAGTGTCAGAGGAACATTTTTATTAGTTTTTGAGATTAATTAAAATAAAGTCAGGAAAAATAAAAATGATTTGGCCGAATTTTAGTTTTTCTCAAATGTCTCAATTTATCAACGGCATGTAAGTACGCCCCAAAGAACGCAACTTTCAATCTGTTTCTCCCAAAGGTATTGAGATCCCCATGCATAGGATCCTTATCCTTATATACCCTTATATTTATCATCACATGTATATCTTCCATCTGTTTTCCCGTAATCTGTTGAGTATACGACAAATTTTTATACAAGCAAAATGGTGAAGAATTCAATTCCTTACAAAACGTGTATCTAGTACTTTTTTACATATGTTCAATGGTTTTCCAGATTTTAACGCATTTCACAAGAGCGGCTGTTACTCCAGCCAATTTGAAATTATCATTGGGAAGCAATAATCTAATGATACCACCAGAAAAATTCATCGTCGCCGAAACTGTAGGATTTCCTTATCACCCTGTATAAGGGAAAATTGACAATACGTTATATTTTTGCTCGTGACAGTTTTCAAGTTTTTCAATAGCAAATCCGATTTAAAAGCATGGAGGTAGACTCTGGTGGTCAAAGTATTGATCCCCCAACGTCTCTGATGATGAATGGACCCAGCCAGAAGGAGAGACCAGAAATAACCATGGCACCAGCTGTAGCAGTCAGAAAGGACAGAACCAACCAACGCCTGACCTTGATTAGCGACAGCCAGATCCAGCAAATAAAGGAACTGACTGAGTCAGTTAGGGACCAAAACAGTAAAATACACTGCCTGACCACCCAGGTAACACAGTTAATCAATAATCCAAATTTTAATTCCAAATCTGACAAGGCTGTCAATTTAAAAAGACCTCTTGGAAATTTGACTGATAACGTGACATCGACCGTCGATGAAATACAGAATGACGGATTCATCCAGGCCAAGTCTACAGTATATTCAGATAAGAGATAGACCGGATGTAAACAAAAGGTTCGGGTGATTTTCACGCTAACGCCGCCGTCTCGACGTAAAACAGGAGCCCTCATTGGTCAATTCGCAATTAAATGCCGATGCCGAGCGGCAGAGCAGTCGTATCAAGGCAGAGTCACATTCAGGTTCAGACGTGTTACGTATGTCGTGTGCATCATTGCAATTTGATATTTCTTTGGACGTTTTCGTTTGTTATCTTATTAAGTTGTTGAGTTTGTCGTTGTTATTGTTATACCTTATTATTGATTGTTATTGTTATCAACTGCTTGCGCAAAATGCCCAGTAGTACAGATACTGCCGATGAAGTTGTAAACTCCTGTCCACCTAGGAAATGCTCTAAAAAAGACACCTGAGTGCAGAAATGAAAGAGGTCATTTTGAATATATATAAGATCGAGCGCGAGGAGAACGAGGCATCAACCATCAAAGAAATTGTTGTGAAGGTTTCTCACAAAGTTGGGGTGTGTCGTGCATCAGTGTTTAATGTGTTAAGACAATACAAAAAAATCACACCTTTTTTGAGCCAATGACCAGTAAACATCGCAAAAGTATTGTTAAATCATTGGATGAAGCTGATAAGCATGCGATTAGGAGGAAAGTGCATGAATTCTTCTTGAGGAATGAAATACCTGCTATAGATAAAGTACTGCAGGAGGTAAATGGAGATACAACGTTGCCAAATTTCAAACGATCAACTTTCCATGCGTTACTGAAGCATTTAAATTTCAAATGGAAAAAAACGGGGTCGTAATAGTTTACTACTGGATAGAGAAGAAATTGTGCTATGGAGGAGGGATTATTTAACAAAAATTGGGAAATATAGAAATCAAAACAGGAAGATTTATTACCTTGATGAAACGTGGGTAAACGCAGGACACACTACAAGTAAAGTATGGGTTGATGATTCTGTAACTTCATCCAGGAGGGCCTTTCTAGATGGACTGTCCACCGGATTAAAAAATCCAGCAGGTAAATACGAGTAATAGACAACAATCGGATGTTTTTCAAACCTTGGAAACAAGGTTCTAAACATTAATACCAGGGGGCAGATAAAACATATTACAAGTAACAAAACTTTTATAACTTTCGATAAAATGACATTTTTGAACCCATTTTGGCAAAACCTATTCAAGAATCTACTTTCTGACAATGTTCAACCATCCCCATTTTTTTACGTTTTGAACGTTTTAATTTGGTTACATTTGGTTACATATTTACCTAGAAATCAAAAAATATATATTCTAAAATTAATTTTAAGAGATATACGATTATTTTTAATTTAGGCTAATTTAAACGCCATTTTGAGATTATATTCGACTGTATTTCACCAAACATCAGGCGGCATCCGAAGCTGGAAATCGAAGCGAAAATTTTGAAACCCTTATGTATATTTACATCATTATATATTTCTTACCCCACCCCCACATGATCCTATATCCATCACCAATCGTATATACATCGAATTGTGCTAATTTACTACAAAGTTACGCAAAGCAGCATCTACTATCTAAAATATGTACTGCGTGACTCTTAATACGTCCCTGCCGAATGTTACAGCGTTCGATGATCACGTGGTCTTGTTTATGTCCGGTCTATCTCTTATCTGAATATACTGTAGGTAAAGACGCAGCGACAATACCGACAAGACGGATGACTTCCCACCTCTTCCGAAAGCCAAATCCAAATTCAAGTTGACAGTCCCCTCAAAACCGTCTGCTTCATTGAACGTATCAACTTTTCCTGCCACTTGTCCTATGACAGTCGACACAGTGACCACATCTTCTCCAACTTTGGCTATTGCATCGACTGACGGTGCATTATGTCAACAATCTCACGTTGCTGGCGAGTTGACCAGCACAGCACCCCGCCAGGGTCGAATCTCCCCCATTGTTTTGCGTGATGCGGCCAAGTGGCGAAATCTAAACTACTCCTTTATAAGCTTAGGCATTAATATAGATAAGAACACGCAGTTACCGTTGATGCAAGAATCAGGGTTTTTGCCGAAAACTGGGGATGACTACCACAGGATCGTTCGCCTGTTCAGGGAGGAGGACGTGCCCCATCATGCGTTCCCTCTTCCTTCAGAACGAAATATTCACGCGGTAGTCAGAGGTATACCCGCAATGTTTTCGGAACAGGAGATCAAAGGGGAATTAGAACAGAGGGAATATACTCCTCTCCACATTATCCGACTCAAACTCAGTGGCGGCGCACCCTTTGGTGGTCGTAGTACTGTCCAAGATCGAAAAGTCCCAGCAGCTGTTCAATGAACATGAAGCTGGTGAGTCTAGCAATCTTACTGAACAACACCTCCCAAATGTTTAAAATGTGCTTTCGACCACATGACACATTTATGCTCCCTCACAGGACAAGAGGAGCGAAGGTGTGCGAACTGTGGAAGGGCGCATCCCGCTAACAGCCCCAATTGCAGATTCACCTCCAGGAGAAATCTGGAAGTCATAGCGCAAAGACGTAGCAAGTCATACGCGGAAGCAGCCGTCTCAACATCTTCGGCTGCCCCCTCTGTGCAGCCCAGCTTGAGCACGTAGAATGTGGACCTAGCTACTGCGCTTAGGTCCCTTCAACAACTAATAATAGTAGTTCGGGGTATGAAATAAGAATAATATTTAAATTATGATTTAGTTCGGCATGCTTGGACTAGCTCTAATGCTTTATTCCTAGCTTTCCAAAAACTTTGCTAGGATGTAAAACAGACCAGTATCTAAATGCGTATATCGTAAAACATCGAAAAGCATATGTACCTACGGCTATTAGCGTGGAAGTAATTATGGTGATTGAATAATCACTCTAATACTTCATCTTACTATAAAAAGTTTTCTTTTCTAACTCGTGGGTGGTCGACTGATAATCTGCAAAACATAAAAGCCTGCTTTCTATTTACGATGCAGCTCGCAATTATCTCTAAATCATCTTCAAAGTTTCTATAGAAACAAAAAGCTATTTGACTGTTGGTTTATACTTTAAATGCTCTGCTTGACCAGAAATAATTTCTAACATTGCCCTTCTTAAAAATGTGTGTTTCTTTTAATAATATTACCCACAGGTGGCACGGTTGTTGCCTAAACGGAAGACTTAGTGGAATTTCATAATTATTTTCTTCACATAGTATAGTACTTAAATAATAATACTAATTATATCATTAGTAATTATTCTATTATCGGATTTTGTTATGAAACAATAAACATTAAAATAGCAAGAGAATAACTTAAGAACCATTTATTGGTCATTTCCTTACAACCTACTCAAGCACTCATACTTTGACGCTTTAACGGATTTTAAAACAAAAAGTGCTTGGAATGTAATAAACGAAAACAGAAACACACCTAAGCACGAAATCATCAACTTAAACATAGAAAATAAAATAATAACCGAACCAAAAGAGATTGCCGAAAAATGTATGCAGCATTTTAATGATATTTCAGGCTCCTATGAACGTAATGGAACAGGAAATAATGGAAATAATATAAATAGAAACAGTCACTCTTTCTATTTTCAACCCGCTGTAAGTTGTGACACAATATCAATAATAAATAACCTTAAAAACTCCAACTCTACTAGCGGAGATAAAATTAGTGCAAATATTTCAAAAATATATAAAGTACATTTTGAAATTTGGAGTGCTGAATTTTGTATCAAAAAAACTTACACACCTCAGCTTTTATCTTATTTGTTACTTTTTTGAATTTTCATTTTTGCTCATACAGGGTGGTCAAAAACTTGAATTGTACGTTTTCTCAAAAATTTAAATTGCATCATCCTGTATATTTGTGCATGTTTGTATTCAATTATTCAATAATTCAATTATTTATAAGCTTTTTTGGTATAAGGTTTGATTCTGATAAAATCACTAGATTTTGAGTTAATAAGCTTTTAATAGAACAACACACCAAAATTAAGAAAAAAGATCACATCATCCATGGAAACAAAAGACAAACAGTGGGCTAGTTCGATATTGCCACTAAGAGTACTGATTTGACGTAAAAACTAATAACAATCAAAACAGTATCTATAAATCATCTTCAAGCGTAATAGAGAAAAGCAACTATATCAACAACATAAACAAACAGCTATCACTACTCAAGGCCTAATCTACAAAAACTGCTCGAAAATATCTCCACCATGTTGAATACACAGCCGTAGTCTTTGGACAAATGACCGTTGCATATCCCTCAGCATGTGTTCCCCTATGTTCAGAAAAGCATCCTTAATCCTTTCCCTTATATTTACCAGGGTAGATGGTGGATATCTATAAACCTCTTGCTTAACGTAGCCCCATAGAAAGAAGTCCATCGGTGTCATATATGGTGATCTAGGAGGCCAAGATATAGGCTTCTGTTGTGGATTTCAGGAATTACGAAGTGCTACCTATACGCTCAAATCTTTGACTTTTTTACCCCTTTCTCTAGACATTTTCGTTTATTATACGTATACACCTATATGTATGTGCAAACATTACATGATATAGCTCCTATTCTTTTTCCCTAATATCTATTATTCATATTCATAGTTTCTTTTCTCTCTACTTAAAGCGCCTCTCTTTTTTTGTGTTTTTTGTTTGACTTTATGGCACACAGACTGTGTAAATTAAGCCATTGTACTATGTATTGCTCTCTAGATAGTATCAGTACTGTTGGACAATAAATGCTTTATTATTATTATTATTATCCTAGGCATAAACAGCAAATTTGGGCATATAAAAGATATAATAGACAAATGCAGTTCTTTTAAACTTTTTATTGTAAAACTTACATGTTATATGGAAAAAATTTACAGTTCGGTGTCAACGCATTTGCTCTTTTATATATAAACGAAACATTTTGAAATATACATATGATACAGGATGGGTCACTGATTTTTTTTCTAATTTGATGTGGACATATTTAATTTTAAAAATTAACCCTTAAACAATCTAATTCCTCATCCGTCATATTTTAAAGTTGCTTTTTTATATGTTAAAAAGCAAATAAGTAATCATGGAACTACATATTTTTTTCAAACAGTATCTTATGTTACATCTGAAACTTATACAGTTTTCATGTCGATATTCCCCCATGTTTGTTTGGCCAATGAAAGCATGTATACTAAGTGACATATAAAATGAAACACCCAGAATTATTTATTGAACTTTGATAAATCCATTTGCTATCGTGGAAGTATACGCTGTTAAAATGTTGAAGGCATTCTGAACTGTACTTTTTTTGAAATTTTTTTTTGTCATATCAGGATCCGAACAATATGAACATGTTTACTTAATATTCAGAGATTTTTCTGTGTTGTTTTTATTTGTTTCATTGTTGTTTCATTGCATTGTCATGCCTTGAGTCCGCAGACGCGCTAATTTCATCCAACTTTCCGAGCTTGAGAGAAATCGCTAATCAGGTGAATCGAAACGAAGCTGCTGTAATGAGATGTTGTTGAGCATAGTTCCGAGAAGACCGAAATCGACGAGTTAGAGGTATTGGACGTCAAAGACAGACTACAGAGCGACAGGGTTGTTATTTGAGGCAACTAGCACTTGGAGATCGATTTTCCACAACAAGGGTAGTTGGGAACCAGTGGTTTCATGATGTCGGAAGGGCCATAACAATGAGGACAGTTTATTGCCGAATAAGGTATTTTGGACTGTTTTCATACCGTCCCCACCTTTTACTACCTCGGACCCCACAGCATCATCGGCAAGGATTGGTATGGAGTAGGGAGGTACTTGAATGGAATGTCGAATGGAATTCAGTCGTGTTCAGCGATGAGTCCAGATTCTGTTCTGCGTCAGTGGTTTCCTCGATCTCCAGACCTTTCCCTCATCGAACATATATGGGACATGATGGGAAAAAGGTTGCAAAATTCACCGCACCTTCCACAAATATTAGAGGCTCTACGGAGCCAAATTCAGATGGCCTGGGATACAATACACCAAGAAGACAAATTCCAGGTTTTTAAGTCTAGTTACTGAAGATGAAGCTGTTGAGCTGTTAAAACATGTCGCAAAAAAGAAGTCAGCAGGCTTTGATGAAGTACCTTGCTCATTCCTATTGAATGTCATAGACTTAGTTGCAAAACCTCTAAGAGCACTGTTAAATCTGTCTTTTGCAGAAGGCATATTTCCTCATAAGCTGAAAGAATCCCTTGTTATACCAATGTATAGAAAAGATGATATTACTAACATGGCTAATTATAGCGGCATTTCTTTGTTATCCGTATTCGCAAAATTCTTCGAAAAGGCTTATTATAGTAAACTGAAAAAATTTTCTGACAAATTCAATATCATCAACAGGTATCAATTTGGATTTCAGAAAAACCTATCTACAAAATATGCAGTATTGTCTATGTGTGACTTTGTCTTAACATGCCTTGAAAAGAAAGATAAAACGTGTTGTCTCTTTATAGATTTAAGCCGCGCTTTCGATACTGTCAACCATGCTCTTTTACTCGAAAAGCTTAATAACTACAGAGTCAGAGGAATCGCCTTAAATTGTATAGAAAGTTATCTATCCGATAGGGAACAACGAGTTGTCATTAATAATGGTAGATGTAAATTATCTTCTAGCACCAAGGTTGTTTTAACTGGTGTTCCACAAGGAAGCATACTAGGGCCTCTGTTGTTCTTGTTGTTCGTCAACGATGCTCCTATTTTCATGAAACGGCATTTTGTTACATTATTTGCTGACGATACCACGGTGGGGTATAAACTAAAGATCCAACTCAGGTCATTACTGAATTGTCAGTTGCATCATATCACATGGAGAGGTACTGTGTAAGGAATGGCCTTGTACTTAATGAACAGAAGACGCAACTGATGCAGTTTTGCTTGCGAGATACAGATTGTGATATTGACCTGAAAATTAACGGAACCAGGTCACTAAATTCCTTGGTCTAAATTCAAGGCTTACTTGGAGGGATCATATTGACTGTTTAGTCAACAAAATATCAAAGCATTGCTTTGTGTTGTGGAGACCCCTCAACATAGCCTTGCTTTATCAGCAAATGGTCCCCACATAATGCCTATCAGATTGTTCAACAGGTTGCCAATTGTTATCAAAGCTGTCACCAATTTCAGTGCTTTCCAACGCCGAGTTAAAAGTCTATTTATGGAAAACCCTTTTTACAGCATTGAAGAATACTTAACATCAGATTTGTGAATTGTATTAGTGCTAACAATTAATTTTTAATCTGTTTTCAATCTGTTCGTCCTTCTATTTTTGTTTTATTTGTTATTTAGCACATCTTTTTAATTTGTTTGTTTATGTTGTCATTTTGAGTTTGTATACTAAGTGACATATAAATCCGAACACCCAGTTTAAATGGTTTTATTTTAATAAAATTTTGTATAAGTACTTAATGAAGCATAATAAGTAAATGATAGAAATTTCAAAATGATTGCACTGCTTTAAAGCCCTTTGACCTTTAATAATGTGTGGCTGCACCCTGATGTGCTACGCATTCTCCAACGCGCCTAGGCATGCTTCTGATCAGGTGGTCAATGTCCTCCTGTGGTATCTCATTCTAGGCAACCACCAACTCCTCTCGAAGTGCTTCTAGAGTCTGAGGAGGACGTTGCAAATTGAGCAATCTCCTACCCATCATATCCCACACGTTCTCAATTGGGGATAAGTCGGGAGATCTTGGTGGCCATGGTAACAATGTGACATCATTATGTTAAAAGAAGTCTATTGTGACTCTTGCAACATGTGGTCGGGCATTATCTTGTCGGAAAGTTGGATCTGCCAGGGTGTCAAGATAGGGTAAAAGATGGGGTTCTAGAACTTCGTGGATATAACGCTGCGCGTTCATGTTACCTCTGATGAAGATTAAAGGTGACCTGGAACCATAAGCTATAGCACCCCAAACCATAACTCCAACAGTGTGATGAACATGTCTTTCAACAAAAAACTATGGATTCCTCCTTTCACCACGTCTCCTTCTAACCCTGGCACGACCATCGTGCATGCCTAAACAAAATCGAGACTCGTCACTAAAGACAATACTGTTCCATTTCTGATCCGAGAGTGACCGTTGTCTGCACCACTCAAGGCGATTACGTCGGTGTTCTCGAGTTAAAGGGAGGACCTAGTGTGGCCGGTATGAAAACAAGCCAAAACTTCTCATTCGTCAGTAAACACTTCGCATGCCAATAGGTCTTCCGTGTTCTGCAAACCATTCATTTGCAATGGACCTGGTAGTGGAGAAACGATCCCTTAAGGCCAATAATCTTAGGCGGCGATCTTCACGGTCTATTGTTCTACGGCGGCGTCCAGTGCCCCTTGCTCTTTGCGTACGGCCTTCTCGAAGCCATGCCTGACAACACCTAACCACAGTGTCTACACTTCTTTGCACTCTAACTGCAATTGCCCGAAAAGAAAGTCCAGCTTCCCGAAGTCCCACTATACGGCCCCTATCAAACTCACTAAGTTGACGAAATCGTACAGGTCTCCGTACTCTAGGCATCGTAACCGATCGTAAAGGATGTCAAGAACCAAAATCCGCCAACGTTGATTCTTTACTGCGGCTGAAATATTCATTTTTAGAGCGCTAGTGAATTAAAAAAAAGCAGTATAAAAACCGGAATCTCCAACTGATAAGGCTGAAAATTTTGTCACTTGTTATTTACAGTAAGATAAATACATTCACCAACTTTTATTAAAATAAAACCATTTAAACTGGGTGTTCGGATTTATACGTCACTTAGTATATTATTTAATTTACTTAGCCTTGACTCGATCACAACTTTTTAGGTATTTTTTTTTTCATTCGATATTGATAATTTGCTGATACTTTTTCAAGTCAAATGGCAATTCAGATATTTATTTATTTATTTATCAATCACCTAATCCAATCCATACCGCGACGACTTAACGAACCTGTAGCGAACATAGGAGCCTCAAACACATTATTAACATTAAGTTGGGATATCTCAGTTATTTTGAGAAATTCGAGATAAAATTTTATTCACTTTCTATTTATAAGTAGAGCTAAAAAGTTGTGAAAGTGTGCTGAAAATTACAGCTTTCTTAGTCGGTGTTGCATTTTCTATGTCACTTAGTATATTTAAAATTCTTCTTTAATGTATACATTTCGATCTCAACGGCGAACTTCTTCAATACATGATCCTTTTACTTCCTCCCAAAACTGGGAAGTATTGTAATCACGCAAAATTTCGGATTTCAGGTATTTTTTTTTGGATGTCATTCATTCAAATTTTCACACAAGGATAAACAACAACTAAACACGAAAAAAAAATTTTGTAGGGGTTGAAACTTGGAAGTTAGGCGTCGTATTGGATACGGGGTTGTGGTTGTAGATGTAGAGGAAGTGCAACATATTTGGGATACTTACTTATCTAAATAAATGTAAACGCTATCTATATTTTTTGCCGTGAATATAACGTCGTAAATCACACGAAATTTATATTTTTTAATATTTACAATTAAAAATGTGACATGGAATTTTATGGAAGGATGTTGCTAATTTTGGAATATGTACAAGTTAGTGCTTAATGTGTGAATTGTGGGTTCACGCTGCTTGTAGTGGTAATGAATCCAGTATGTATATTTATGATTATTGTAAGATCAGTAACTAAGAACACTAAACTCAGCTTAGGCTAAATACTGATTTGTGATTATTGTGACTGATTACTTAATAATTTATGATTGTAAGCTATTTTGTTAAACAGATTAATCACCAAAGTCTCTAAAACGGTTACAAAGCTGAGATATTTATTAGTTTCTTAGAACAGGTGTAAACAATTGTCAAAAAAGGTGATTATAATTTGTCATACTATATTCCAAGTGACCTGCACCCTAAGTAAATTTACGCTTTTTGAGTTTTTTTATTTTTTTCCCCGTTTATCGTGAAATTTATTTCGAAAACTCAAACAACTATTTCAAATATGCTGCACTTCCTCTAATGTTGTAATTTTGAGCATACTAAGTTTTAGGTCTACTAATAAATAGAAAGTGATTAAAATTTTAACTCGAAATTTCGCAAAATAGCTTAATGTTAATAATGTGTATTTAAAATAAACATGTTCATATTGTTCGGATCCTTATATCATAAAAAAAGACTTTACAAAAAAAGTACAGCTCGAAATGCCTTAAAAATTTCTCAGCGTATACTTCCATGATAGCAAGTATGTTTACAAGTTTTTATCAAAATTCAATAAATAATTTTGGGTGTTGCATTTTATGCCGCTTAGTATAATATTGAAATAAAAACACTTAAATTTGGAAGAAAATGTAGGCGAAAATTAAAAGACTGAGTTTGCACTGTGCAGTGTATGTCTATACATAATTATATAGGAAACTAAAACATGCCGAGATTGCAATATTTTGTTCGAAGAATAATCATAATGGATTTTTCCGTGTTTTCGAGGGCATTTTTATTTTTACGATCGATGGACGAAGGTGACTTATCACTCATAATAATATGTCCATTTTTTATATCAGAAAAGATAAATTTGTTGTGATTGTACCGCAATATACTTGATAGGTTTCTGAACCAGATTATATGGATATTATCACTTACAGCAAAATTGGTGCCCCAGCTCGGAAAATTTCACTTATCTCACAGGTGTTTTCTGTCTGTGACGACTTAATTGTCAGTCCGTTCATACGGGAAACAACTTATCGTCAAATCAAGTCATCGTTGCTGGTCAGAGCGGTCCGAAGGACCTTAGATTCGGGAAGCTTTAAATGAACTTTTCTTCAAATAAATTATTTTGTTCTATTTTTTTGTATTCCAAGGACTGTTCTACAAAGAATAATTTAAGATGGATGCAGTATCTAACTTTCACTCTTCAGGTCACACTTAAACTTCTTTAGAGCACAACGCGCCATGTCGCCTGGAACTTCCACACGAAAAGCAATGAAAATGTCTGGATGTCAAACAGAAAAGACGAATGGCTTATATCCTGATCTTCCTACTTTAACAAAATGATTTATCCGAAGCATAAATTCACTCATTATTGCGGGATATAAATAAAATTTGCAGTTAAACACTCTGAAATACTGGATGCTATACAGATAAATTTAAGTATCCTTTGGAACAAGTGATGTCATTACAAACACTGAATTGATTGTCTTAGTTTATTCGGAGTTCGAAATCACTTACGATTAGTGATTTATAACAAAATAGTAAATGATTGCAATGCTCATGATATTTGAAATGTTTACAAGATAAA